GCCATTTACCACTTCCTACTTTTGTAATTGCATTTTTATCTTTTAGAAAGGGAACTCTAGTAAAATTCACAGGTGTTTTTTGCATTTTACACAAGGAAAAAAAAAATCAAAAACCTATTCCTTCAGATAGAGAAAGGATTATTACTGAATAATGCAAACAGGCTTGGTTATTCATTAGCATTGAAATGCCTAAGCCAGACAGCAGCTTTCTTTCAATCRTATCCATGCAGAATTGTTCTTAGTGATGATACAGTACTCCTTTTTAAAATTTAGTTAATTTTAATTTAAATTAGAAATAATTTATTTTCTAAAGCAGCAGTTTTCCTGGTGGAAACACTGGATACCAGCAGATTCTGCCTGAATGTGTCTGTCAGGAATGGATTTTTTCCAGCCTGTGATCCCCACATCAGTTCACGAGTCAGACAATGGCTGGGTGTCCTAGACCTGCATCCATCCTTGTGGGCTATCCAGTGAAAAAATTCTGTGTTATTGCTTGACAGTTGCTTCAGAAAAAGGTGTGGCATTTCTGCATGAGGCCCTTGAGATATTCACATAKAGCTGAAAAGAGTTTTGTCCTTTGTAGCAGTAAATCCTTTCTGAAAATCCACCTCTCAGACCTGCTGATGTCATTGCCYTTTGAATTCTGTTTTGTCATTGGCGACAGACTTGGTGAGTCGGAACAAGGACTTGAGGGGCTTTCCCAGTTAAGTACATAAAGGGARAATAAAAGTCTTCTTGGTTTAAAAAAGAAAGTAGAGTCAGACCCTCGGCTGCTGTGATCCGTGAAGAAACTTTAATTTCAGCGAATTTAGAAAGYAGATAAACAAAACCATCCCAAAATATTTAAACTTCAAGAAATAATAACTATTCTCTTAAAGATAGTGGAAAGATCATGATGTTCTTTTTCTTTCCCTTAATAGGATTACTCTTTGTGGACTACTTTCCATGGAAAACKTTTGAGCTCTTGCTGTCTGGTATTAAATCTTCTTTTAGCTTTTTTGTTGCCTTGAATATAGCAGCATCCATTTTTTGACACCCTAAACAATCAAWTTCCTTCTCAATCCATCGTGGTCGGGCAAACTCTGCTGTTTTGGGTTCGATACTGCTGATCCATACATTTCAGGCTGGAGGTGGGATTATTCTGCTCAAATTTAGATATCCACAATGTAGATGTCAACAAACAAGCCGGCTGTTAAGAATTCCTTTCCACTCTGGGCGAGAAGCTGCAAGTTTAAAGCAGACGGTTAAAATAGGTCAGACAAAACACTTCCTTCTCTTGTCTACTCTCTCTGTTGATATAAAAAGAGACTTCACAATGAGCTCATGTGTGAGGATGTATCTCCCAGGTTTCTAAAGTTAGGTGATGTGTCCTGGGTCAGTGAGGGGTTGATWTCCCAACTCTGCTCATTGTTGGAACATGAGGAAGGGGCACCATGCCCTGTAATATAAAAAATGTAGCTGGAATACCACATTTGGGAACTTATATGAGGGAAATTAWAAAATCCACTGGTTTTCACACCTTGAATTGAGAGCCTAAAGATGCAAAACTATCAGTTGTGTAATGAAAGGTGTTCCAGCCCTCAGGAGARCCACAAAGCTGATCRGAGAGCTGGAGYACCTCTCCTATGAATTCAGGCTGAGAACTGGAATTRTTCATCCTGGAGAAGAGAAGGTCTGAGGAGACCTTAGGGCACTTTCCAGGGCCTAAAGGGTGTTTACAAGAGGGCTGGAGAGGGACTTTCCATGTGATGAAAGTCCAAGTGGGAATGGTTTTAAACTGAAGGTTAAGATTAGATTTTGGGAAGAAATGCTTTGCTGTGAGGTTGGTTAGACCAACCAGAGAAGTTGAGAACTGACAATCTCTTGAGGTGTCCAAGTCCAGGAATCTGCACCAGTGGAAGGTGTCCCTGTCCMTGGCAGGAGGTTGGAATGATGATCTTTAATGTCCCTTCCAATCCAAGCCATTCTAGGATTTTTTTTGATAATCTCCTGTTCATATATTTTTTTGCACCCAGTAATTCTCCATCYATGTTTATTCTTCACAGGGAAATGTTCTTAATTTCTCTAAGAAGTGCTGGGATAGCTGTGCAAGGAATGGTTGTTTTTTTTGAAATGCTTTCAGTCTGCCAAAGCTCCATTGCTCCTTCACACTGTCAGCAGCTTTCAGATTTCCACACTTGGGCAGTAGCTTGGCCATGGGGCAGGAAGAGGATGTGGTGGGAGGCCCTGACTGGACATTGCAGTGAGATAAATTAAGTAATGAATTCCCATTTGATCATCGCTGGTCTGAGCCATTGTGGGTCAGCTTTGAAATGTTCTGGTTTCCTTTCAAACCCCTGGCACACGTCCCAGAGGGCCACAACAGGAAATCCAGCAGATCAGGTGGTTTMTTTTGGGTGAGATCTCCAAACCAGCTCATAACTGCCCTGTAAAGTCACTAAAAATCCTCCATTATTACCTTTTTTTATGCCTCCCTGGTAGTGGTCCCATCACACTTGGAAAGGATTCTCTGTGTAGTTTGGTTCATTGGTGACATCAGATTGTGCACATGACACTTGTGGGCTTTTCATGGAGGAACTGTCCTCACCAGCCTCCAGAGTCCTTTTTTAGATGGGGAAGGAAATGGGCACTTGCAGCAGAACAAGTTTTGCCAGAGCTTTTCCAACCTGCCCTTGAGGCATCTCAGATACTTTCGCAAAGAATCTATTGGGGCACTGAAAGTGCTTCCAGTGGGCAAATTTCAAATTCACCTTCAGAGGTGATGAATTTTGTTAAGTCATTAGTTGACCAAAACAAAGCTTTTCTTTTTCCTTCTTCCCCTTCTTCCTATGTTTCAGCCATGCTTTGAAACAAACCCCTGAAACCCATTCTATTTCAGCAACAATCAGCTGATTTTCAGATTCTCAGACACTCCAACAGCCCTTCTGTCTCAACAGAGATAWTTGAAGATTATTTTGAGGAACTGTATATCCATAACTGAAAGGTGYAGCCCCTCTGTTATTGCCTCTCTGACTTCACTAATTTTAATTACAGCGACAGATGCAGATAAAACAACGACATAAAGCATCAGGAATGAAATTACAGGATTTATCTACCAGTGGCATCAGGAGAAAATATGATCATTCAAGCTTCCCTTCCAAATCCAATTCTGATATATTTATTTATTTTTCTCAATACCAAGTGGTAATGCTTTATCAGCATTGCCTATATATTTYTTTAAAGTTTATTTTTCTGGTAAAACATAGCTGATAGTGTTTATGTGGGAATTTAATAGAGAATAGAGATAACTACCGTCTAATTGATAATAGATTAAAGTAGCCTTGAATTAGTAATAGATGGACTCTGAATGTATGAATAACGTACATGCCAGGAACAGGTAAACAATATAAAATGTTCTGCTGCAGGTCCAGGGCAGAAGTTCACAGAACTGGAACTCTTAGCTCTCATTCCCTAATAAACACTTGAGTCTCCGTGGATGACATGAAGGCCTCAGCCCAGTATTTGGTWCAGGTTTCCATGGCTACCTTGAAAGAAAAAAATGAAGTAGATTCTTTTATTTTCACTGCAATATGTGAAAGAAAAGCCATGAAATGSCTTGCAGATGTTCCTGTTGTCTCTTTAGAAGCTCCTTTGAAACTCAGGAAAAACAGAAAACAAGCATCCTCCACTTTTCAAACCTAGGGAATGCCAGATGAAGGTGAAAAAGTGTATTCTAAAGGTCACCACATTCCCCCAGGATATCTGTATCTGTCCATGTTTTAATCAGGCATCTCCCACATTTCCACTGCATTTTAATAATTTTCTGCTGCATTACAGTGACAGAATGAAAGGACAGAACTCAACCTCCACACCCCTCTCTGGCTTTTCTGGACTGACCTGCATGCAGGAGGGCAAATGAGCAGGAAATAATTTCAAATCTAGTGGCTGCTGTTGTGTCTGCCTGGTTTTGTCTTGCTTCTGTTAATGGAATTCCAAATCCTGACTGCTGAATGTCACCGGGGATGTTTGCTGTCCTCCTCAGCTAAGATCTTATCAATTGCTCATTATTTGATAAACCATCAGAAATACAGTTAAGTAATTAAATTCGGTRCCAGAACAGAGCTTGAGTGACTGATCAAGTGAGGAGGGAAGAAAACAGATCAGTTTAGAGTGAATTTTATGAATCATTGTTCTCCAAAAATTTAGAGAGAGATTAATTTTCCTGTTTTATTTTTTAATTGAAAGACTCTCTCCCTTCCAAACACTGATATCCTGGCAGTGTGTTGCAGTCGGTATAAAAATTGAGTGTCTTTTGGTTCCAAGAGTTCTTTTGGAAATCAGTTCTTTACAAATCAAAGTAGAATAATGAGAAATTAAACAAAATTGTAAAACACCTTCCCTCCACTCCTCTGTTCTTTCTGGGCAGAGACCAAGCAATGGGGGTCACAGATATGGATGACACTGTTGTCCATAKTAATCAATCCTGATTATGGCCTGGATGAATCTTCAGCCTGAGACTTCAATTAATTCATTTGCCCCTCTACTGCCAAGTTCTCAGGTGATTAACAAGGTTATTAACAGGTTATTAACAAGTCTGGTAACAAATTTTGTTATCTGGACAAACTCTTGGGAATCAGACCCCTAAAAAGCCCCCAGACACTTTTGCTTTTAAGACACTACTGAAAATTGTGAAGGGCAAACCACAGTCTCAGAGASGAAACAGACAGGTCCTTTTTCTTGTACAAAATAATCCACCTTTCCTTCTCCCCTGGGTACAATTTAGGTTTTTGCAGCTACAGAACCTGTTTCAGTATTTCTTTGATACAAGTTACTGATCATACAGACAAGTCCTTTGACTTAAATTCGATATCCAAGACCATCTATAAAAGCTGTGAAAGTATGGTTGATCTCTAATCTATGCAACTTGCAGTTCAAGTGTTGGTTTCTCTGTTTCCTGTCCATTTCTTATTCATTCTCATCGTGTTTTCCATATTTATAACAATTTTCCTCTTTCTCTGCAGAGATCTGAGCTTTGATGTGAAGACCTCAACCAAAATATCTGCAGATATTCTGTGCTTCAGCCCCGATCACAGTGTTAATGAGCAAAATTGCTTCAAAATTAAGAGAAAAGATGGCCAGCAACTGGAAGATCTGCTTCTTCAGCCTCATTTTGCTTCCCATGGTAAGAAAAAAAGGTTTTATTTGCATTGTTCTGATATAAATACAAGTTCTCAAGGGCAGCACTTTACAAGAGAGAAGGGTCTGTTGCTGACACTGATTCTGGATTTTTCTGGGTGTTCTCATAGTTTGGGTTCAGACTTTTCCAACCTCCTTTGTTAATGAATTTGGGCTGTGATCACTGCTCATCCTGAGAAGAGCAAGACCCTTCCCTCGTTCACTGTTTTTATCCAAGATTCAAAATAAAATAAAGCAATAATTAGGAAAAAAAATAGTGGGTCTTCTGTTTGGTTTAAGAATTTTTTTTCCAGACAGAGGGGATAAAATTAAAGATTCTCTTCATTCCCCTAGTGAAATCTAAACCTCCAGATATTTCAAGCAATTTGGAAACAATTTTAAGAAAMAACACAAACAGCCCTCTAAAGATACTGAAGGCACTCAAAGTCATCCATCATCTTTCTGKAGATATTCAACTCTTTATGAAGATGACAGGGATTAATTTTCCCCACAAGCCTTTACTTACTCAACAATGTGCTCATCCATTAATAACTGAGTGTCACTCAATAACTCRGGGATTGTCCCTGTCCCCGCAGTGGCTGGATCTCTTCTCACATAGCAGCCATAAAACCACTGAACAAAGATATTTTTTTTTTCCCTTTTTAGCTGTGAGGAGCTGCACACAGCCCCTGCAATAACCCCTCATTGCATTTMAGCACAATTCTGTGTTAAACCATTGATCACAAATGTGCTTTCCAGCTCTTCTCCAGAGGCATTGCTCGGAGGGATTCGCTGACAAATTGTGCCAGGATTTCAATCCTCCAGCTCATTCCCATTAAGAGCCTTCCACAACTCCCATGCAAATTGTTTACACTTGCTTAATGCACAGACATTCTCACCTTGCTGCACTTTAATAGTCAGGTATTTGAAAGAATTTGTAACATTGAGGTTTTTTTTTTTTATTTTTAAATGACAGTTTGATGTGGTGGTGGTGTGACCAGAGCATCTTTTAGCAGTTTCTGCAGAGTTTCTTACTCTTCTGTATCAATTGTGTGACCTGAATTCTATAGGCAGCATTAGAATTCATAGCAGACAGCATTTAGAATTTGCCTTTAGCACAAAAAAATACACATTCTTTCCTTTTGGCTCTTATTTAGAGTCCACTTTATTTCCCTGCAAATCTGAAATGTGGCATAATTCAAAATTCTGGAGAATTGGGTTGGAATTGATCCTATACTTGTGTTCATCCAAATAAGACAGTCCCTTACATACAAATATCTGGTCTTGGAGTGTTTATCTAGTTCATGGCTGCTATGGCTATTCCTCAGCTTTCCTGGTACGGTAGAAAAGATTACTTCATAAAACCCAAAAATGTTTAATTTTTATAATGTATCTCTGAAATTATGAAAGTAAACTTCYTCTAAGCCAATGGGGAGGGGAGAAAAAAATCCCCACATTTAACCTGGTTTAAGTACTGATGTTCATATGAGATTCCTGACTTATGAAAAGAGTTTAGCTCAAATCTGGATGCTGTTTTTGTGGACATGAATGTGYGGGTGACATGGGAGAAACTGGAATGCTGAATTCCCGGGCATGCAAGCTTATTTTTCACGCTGCAACCAAAATAATTAAAAGAATCAAAAGACAAAAGGCATTCTTGTTAAACAACCAACAGCTTCAATATYTCAAGATTTTCAGTGCTCAGCTTGACACCCTTGAAAGGTGTCTTCTTATTTAGAAGTGAGCAGTTTTTAATTAAGGGAAACAAATGAACAAATCTCTTGAGCTTTTAGATGGGTGACCTTCCTGGCAGATGTAGAAGGACAGCAAATTTCCAATTGCTCACGTTTCAGGACATAACTGTGGTTGCTGAGCTGGATAATTAGTGATCAGCTCCAGCTTGTGGAAAGAACAATTCTTAATGAAATACTCCGTGGCAAACCAGAGTTAATAGGAAGAAACRTGCTTTTTATTTGCTGTTTCTTCAAAGACCATGATCTTCTTTATGATTGTAAGGTTTTGTTGCAGTATTTTGCAGGAATTCAGATATYAAAATTAACTATTTAACATCCATGAATTTGTGTATTTTCACACACAGAGTCCACAACAGAGATTATACAATTGTTTCTGTTTATTAATATAAATATAACAATTTCTTATTGAAACCCTACATTTCTTGTCACAGATCAAATTGTAGGAATAATATAATGTTATTTATGGTTCTTCCCTTGCTGTGATTCTTTTGCAGTGCTTGTGGTAACACATTTCTCTCCACTGAGGCACACCCTTTCCCTTCAAACCTCCTCTAATATGCTGTGCTGGTGACCTCAAATTGGTATTTCTCTGTCCTGCAGATTTTCCAATTTTCTAGCAAGGGAATTGATGTGACTTTTAAAAACATTAAATTCAGAAATCATCCCAAACTCTAGAAAGTTYGGGRAAAAAAAAAAMMAAMCTGGTTTTGTATTGCTTCACTCTAAGCACTTGTGGTACTTTGGACAAATCTCCAGTCACTCTCGAGGAGAGCTCCTGGAGGAGCTCAGCAGCTCAGCAATCAGGATAGATCCAATTTTCCTCACAGTGGCTGCCTTTGCTCCTGGATCTGCACACCCACTTTTATGTGCAGTTTTTGGCATTACCAACAGTCAAACCCGTTTTACCCACAAAAGCCCCCAAACTGATGTCCACRTGCATAAACAGGTCAAGGAAAAGCAAAAAGAGAACAAAGTATGAATGGGAAATTCCAGGCGGTTTCAAGTATAGGTTCTGAGCAGACAAGAAGAACATAATATGCTGAGAAATATTTAGAACTGGGCATTTAAAGCCAGTTTTCACAGTCAGAGTCAAGGGTGGTTCAGTTTTTTTATGTGTTTAGCAGGTTGTTCTGCATTAATCTAAGCTATCAACTACTTGGGACTGAAAGCCCCATGCTGCCTGCAAGACCTATAGAGGAATCTTTGAGTTTTATCTCTTTTTCCAATTTTTAGGGGAAAAAAAAATCCCTTTTTTTTTTTCCTGTATTTAAATGACTTCATTGCTATTGTAACAAATTTTAATCCATTTCTTYCAGCTGGCTCACCTCCTTTCAGTCATTCCCATTTTTTGCTTTGCATGGAGTCACCAGGGAGAGTGGAAGCTGTCCCTACCCATGGCATCCAAGGTCCCTTCCAACCCAAACCATTCTGGGATTCTATATCTCTTTTTTTCCTTTGCAATTCACTTTCCCTGTCATTTTGATTGACTTTGCATTCCATTCATCTGTGATAACACTGGGTTATGTTTTGGGGTTTTCTTTAATTGGGAAATACCAACGAAAATCATCATAAAATTATGGATGAGAAAGGATCCTAAATCCTATAGGATCATTACTTTGTCTGGTTCCAAATGTACTTGAGAAACAATGAGTTTCATGACTCACAAAGTTGGCTTGGTGTATGAACTGAATTTTAAATGTAACTGCAATGCAGGTGTTCCAACTGTCTGGGATAATTCAATCAGATGGATTTCTTTGCCTAACACTCAGAATTTCTCGTGGGTACATATTTAATATTGCCAAGATTAAATGTTTCCAGTGGTGGAGTATTCTTTGGAATGTTTGTTTAGCTGGGGAAGGATGTCACTGTCTCCTTTGGGAAAAAAAAAATATGGAAAAGGGAAGTTGTAAGTGATTCCTCTTGTATAACAACACTGAAGGGTGATCCCTGGGTGAGAGTAGGATGGACAAATACAGATTTGGACATGCAGGCAGCACCTCAGAAGCAGAGAATGAACCTGGATGATGATATTTGAGCACTCCATGGACAGCAGAAGAGAAAAGCTGGGAGTGTTTGCTCAGCCCCTGTTTGCTGTMGGGGTAATATTTCTCAGTCTTCTCAGGGTGTGTACAGGCTACAGAGCTCAGAACTCTCTGTATCTTCTATTATTCATCCCTSGCTGTCACTTCCAGTGCCAGGCTGCCTTCAAATAGAATCATCTACGTTTCAGCCTCTGTTATTTTTAAAAGCTGAGACACGGTGTATTCAGACACAATATTCTACGAGTTTCTCTCCAAGCCTGCAATGTTTTAAGTGCTTCAGCCCAAATGGGAGGCTCCTCARGCACAAACAGAGCTGGCTGGGTTGGTCCCTGCTCTTTAAGCAAACCATTTTTTCCATTCAAGGCTTAATGAGAGAGCTTTTAATGAGTTTACCTGCCTGGTGATTTGTAGCATCTCATAACCCTGTTGGAGAAGTCAAGCTCTCTGGAGAACTGCAGGTTTCTCTCACATTGAACACAGTTGCACTGGRCTTCCCTGTCATTTATGTAAAGAAAATATAAATATTTACAAACACAGCCAGGGAACTGCTGGGAATGTTCTCCATAGGAGATAAAGGAAATCAAGGCTTTAATGCTGCCCTAGCTTTTCCATTTTAATAGGAGGAGCTGGTGCTGGGGGCAATCAGCAGAAAATAGCAATGTCTGAAAAAGCCTCATTTAAAATAGAAAAACAAAGTCTCAGGGTGTCAAATAGTGGGTAAAGCAGTTTCAGAGAGCAGATTCAGAATTCTGGTATCACAAAAAATCATCTGAGGAAATCAGCGTGGCAAAACCGCAGAGGCCTTGACACCAACCAACTCCAAGCACCTTTCAGAGGCACAAACATCAGGATTTCATGTTCCAGATGGTTGCTGCCCTGTCCCTTAGGGGGAATGRATTCTTACAGAGAGTGCCAGAGTGCGAGTTCTCTCAGGGTGCTATCTCAAGTTGCTGAGATATCATATGTCTCTGTTTTTGGGTTTTTTTTTTCTGAGAAAACACAGTGTTTACACTCCTTTAAGGTACCTGGAGGTGGTGGAAGCCCTGGATGTTGTGTTGGTGCCCTGTCTGGTGCACTGGCACTCGTAACCTCACCTGGCACACCGGGTGTCAGGCAGGGTTATTGCAGAGCCTAAAGGAAGAGCCCTGAATAAAATGTTTTTCATGGAATTACAGAGTGGTTCAGGTTGGAAGGGACCTGAAAGRTCAGGC